TAAAAAAAGAGGGAGATCACATCAAAAATCACTTTTTTATATTTAAAAATGGGAATTACTTCAAGACTGCACGTTGTTGTCGAAATGCGTATCTGTCATGGATACCTTACCTTACTAATCAGGCTAAGGCCTTGTTGTCCTCTGCTCTGTCGTCTTCACTCTACTCTATTCGATCCATGGCCACAGTTTGCCAACCTCGTAGTCTGCGAAGGGTCCGCACCTTCTACTTGGTCGATCCACCTTGCCCGCTGCGCGCCTCTTCTTCTTGTTTCTGTTGGGTCGCTTTCTAGAACCATTTTCACTGGGTCGTCGTGCGGCATTCTTACGACATGCCCAGCCCACCGTAGTCGCCCAATTTTTGCAATGTGGACGATGGATGGTTCTCCCAGCAGCTGGTGCAATTCGTGGTTCATTCGCCTCCTCCACGTTCCGTCATCCATCTGCACTGAACCGTAGATGGTACGCAACACGTTCCGTTCGAAAACACCAAGGGCGCGTTGGTCCTCCACGAGCATAGTCCAGGTCTCGTGGCCGTAAAGGACCACCGGTCTAATCAGCGTCTTGTAGACAGTCAACTTCGTACGGCGGCGAATTTTATTCGACCGGAGCGTCCTCCGGAGTCCAAAGTAGGCACGATTCCCTGCCATAATGCGTCTTTGAATTTCTCTGCTGGTATCATTTTCGGCGGTCACCAGTGAGCCCAAATACACGAACTCATCGACCACCTCGACCACCATCTGTCATGGATACAACAATGAATTAAGTGGAATTAAATGGAAGATAACCTTTTTTGCTGTTTTGAGCATTCCACTAACAACAAGTTATGAAATTATAACTTTAAATATTTGTTATTATCTTGGGTGCAAACATTTGATGATAACTTATTTTCGGTTCAGTCCTACGACCACGATCCTGCTAATGTATGTATGTAAAGGATACCACTCATTGTTGCAGGGCACAGCCATTAGACAGTGGACTGTCCACCTCGTATGACTTGATCAAGTACGATATCTGGTTGTATTCCATTTACCACTGTATGAAGGGGTAAAAACGGAGGGTGAACCCATAAGCAGAGACACTAACGCGTGATCCACGGGAGCAAGAAGAATCTCCCGGGATGTCCTAATGAGTGTGGAGATTTTCTTTGACTTTTAATGATGTTTATTTCCTGTATTTGTGTGGTTAACATATTTGAAATCACAAGTGACACAGATGTGTCTTTTCATCTTTAAACAATTTGAATTTTTTATAATTATTGTTGAAGTTCTTAATTCTATCAGGCCTGTTTGGAGCATTCCCACCTTGGTGGGATTGGTTTGTTTGAAAATGAAAAAAAGACAACTTATAATTACTATTTACAACTACAACTAGCCTACGACTACTATATACACCTAACATACCTAATAGATACAAATTGCTTATCAGAACATGTTCTGATGTATTGCATTTTTGCACAAACCTAGTCTTTATGTCATGAATTTTAAAATATAATTTTGGAATGTTCGCCTCTAGATGAAGATCGAAAATTCTTGTGTCGAAGGGACGATCAAGAACCATCCTCAGCACTCTATACTGAGTGACCTGGATTTTTTTCCTGTGAGTCTGTGCACATCATTCCCACGCCAAAGCTGCGTAGAGGATCGCAGGTGCCATGATTTGTTTGTAGTCAAGTCAGCGGATACAGACACCTAACGCAGGCAGAACACTTGACTACAGTTTTCTCTACATGCGAACGAAAAGGGAGCTTTTCATCGAACAACATCCCGAGATAGGTTACTTCGGCAGACCAGTCAACCCTTGTGATTACAGTACAAGATGGAGCCGATTCTAGTTTGGGGGATTTCCTAGTGGAGGAACATGATTGCTTGAGTTTTGAAGGCATTGATTTTGATTTTCCACGTGGTGGCATAATCAGCAAAGGCGTTAAGGCATCGTTGAAATTTGTTCGTTATTTCGCGATGCATCCTTCCTTTGACGGCTATTGCGGTATCATCTGCGAACAGGAAAAACACGCAACCGCCTCCAACGGGAGGAATGTGGGAAGTGTAGATATTGAAAAGCAAAGGGCCCAACAGACTTCCTTGCGGAACACCTGCTGGGATGGAAAACGGGTCTGACGACCTTTGCTGGAGGTAGTTATGGATGATTTTAACACGATGCAAAGGAAAGTTTAAGTTACAAAGCTGATTGGTCTGTAGCTTGAAGGCAATGTTGGATCCTTACCGGTTTTACGGATTGGTATAATTGTTGCTACCTTTCAAGTATCTGTTGAAGATAGCAGCCAAAAGAGACTGCACTATCATACGAGTCTCTTCAAGATGTTGAATATGATCATCAAACCCGGGAGCCTTCATGGTACATTTCATCGCTGAACAAATTTGTTGTACTGTAATCTTATCTGCCGGAGGCACAACACAAGGGGAGGCATATACGTGTTGAACGCATTGCGCAACCTGATCTTCAAGCGGACTTTGGATAGTCGAGCCAAGCAAATGCGATGAAGCGACATGCTCGCCGATTGCATTTGCTTTCTCCTATGGGATGATTAAAAGCCGATCGTCGTCATTTTCGACTCTGAGAGGTGGAACGGGTTTGGGATGAGTTTTTAAGACCTTGGCTACCTTCCAGAACGGTCTGGAGCGGTCGTCCAGATCCTGGACACCACACCCGAAACATTAATTTCGGAGTGAGTCCATTCTGGAAGCAATCTGCTTGTTCAGATCGGCCATTTCACGTTTTTTTTTGTCCTGATCTCCAGTCCTCTGAAACTGGCGTTTACGAACATTTCTCAAACGAATCAGTAACAAACTTACCACTCACAGGAACTTGTTGAACACATGGTTCGTCAGTCACGGATATGGCATGTTGGAGTCCTTCCAATGCCCGGTCGATGTCATCTACGGTGTCAAGCAGCGGATCTTCGTCGATGCCTCTGTCATTCACACGTCCAAACTGCACTCAGTTTACGTGGTGGTAGTCTTTGTGCAGGCTTGGACCAGGAGCCACGTTGATGCCGACTTCAGCCACCACTGGTGGTTGGAACTGAGATCGTTGTGCACCTCCGGCTTGGATAGTCAGATGTTCGACAGGAAAAGTCCAAGGTGGAGGGATTTCCCACCGCATAGTGTACAGTCCATGTTGAGCGTGGTCGAACAAAAGACATCCGTTCCGGTTCTGCTGGTAGTTTCGCCAAGCTTCATGGGAGGCATTCAGGTCGCCCCCAACGATGAATCGGGAGATAGTACGGGTGGTGGCGGTCAGATCGTTCTTGAATTTGCTTGCTAATCCGTTGTTGGCGGCATGCTGCCGAGGGCAGTAAACAGTGATTTCCAATTTCCAGTTGACGATTCCACGTCCACACGAAGAGCCTTTATGATAGAAGTGCGGATGCGAGGCAGAGTGCAGAACTTGATTCCAAAGAGTGGGGAGATGAGTGCAAACCTGCTAATATACCAAAATCCATAAAGAAGGCGGTTCCTAAAAAACGTGACGTGTTAGGGCACAAGAATGTCTGCATTTTAACTCAGGACCTCACAACACTATTCGTTGAAATCGTTGAATGGCTGCCTTTCAAACACGTTCTTCATCCCAGCAGGTGTTCCCGAAGTCTGTTGGGCTCTTTGCTTTACAGCATCTACACTTCCGACATTGATGTGTTGAACCTCGGAGACGGTTGCGTATTCTTCCTGTTTGCAGATGATACCGCATTAGCCACCAAGGGTAGGATGCCTCGCGAAATAACAGACAAGCTCCAACGATGCCTTGACACCTTTGCTGTTTATGTCACCATGTGGAAATTCAAAATCAATGCCTCCAAAACACAAACATCACAAACAATTCCTCCATCGGCAATCGCCCAAACTAAAACCGGCTCCCTCTTGTACTGTAATCATGTGTGAAACAAGCGTTGAGTGGTCCGCCGATGTAACCTATCTCGGGATGTTTGACGAAAAGCTACTATATCGTTCGCATGTAGAAAAAACCGTAGTCAAATATTCCGCCTTGGTTAGGTGTCTGTATCCGTTGATCTTCCGCATATTCCGCCTCTCAAGGGTAAACAAACTGGCTGTCAGAAAACAAATTAGCACCTGCGATCATTCACGGTGTGGGAATCATGTGCTCAGACTCACAAGAACAAGATCTAGGTGGCTCAGAACAGAGTCTTAAGGATGATCCTCGATCGTCCTTTCTACATTTGAATAACGGACCTCCACCAAGAGACGGACATTCCCAGAAAAGGTTGAAAAATAACGAAATTAGAAACAAATTTATAAGCAATTTGTATATAGTAGGTTAGGTGTACATAGTAGATTAGTTTAGTTGTAAGTTGTACATAGTAATTTTAAGTAGTCTCCTTTTTCCAATCTCACCAAGGAGGCCACTTTCTAAAACAAGCCTGATAGGACTAGGAACTTTAAATAATAATTAAAAATTTTAAATGGATGAAAGTTAAATGACGCATCTGTGTCACTTGATAATTCCTACATGTAAACCACACAAATACAAGAAATAAAGATCGTTTAGGTCTAGTCTTAGGACCACAAAAAAGTCAAATATGGTAAAACATTTCTGTTTTAATAAAAATCCAAGTATGCACCGTGCTTTTTTTTTTATTATGCTATATTTCCTTAAATAGAAACTTTTAATTTTATACTTAATCACTTGGTTTGGCATTATAAAAAGAAAATGCTAAGGATATGGACGTCAAAAGTACTGATTTAAATGCCATCTCTAACCGTCTTAAACATTTGTAGACATATGCTGAAATGTGCAATTTCTACCCAGATTGCGTTACTTTAGATAATGCCAATAAAATAAAATTGCTTAATTGTTGCTCCAAAAAGCCAGATTCCTTATCCACACAGAACAGGTTCCAAAGATTGCCTTTCTCGTATCATACACTATTATTATCTATTTTCTGTACATTAAACGCTTACTAACAAACTAAATTCTGATATTTTTATTCAACTTTCGCCCCGCTAGGTACCAACACATCAATACCAACGCACAAGGACCCCCTGTTTCCCGAAGACTTATTCACGCTAGAACAACGTCGTAATGGTGCTGTTGTATTACACATTCTTGGCGTAATATATATGTTTGTCGCACTGGCAATTGTATGCGACGAGTTCTTTGTGCCTTCTTTAGACGTGATCATTGAGAAACTGGGCATTACGGACGATGTGGCCGGTGCGACCTTCATGGCGGCCGGGGGCAGTGCCCCGGAACTGTTCACCAGCGTGATCGGTGTGTTCGTTTCGTTCGACGATGTCGGTATCGGTACGATTGTCGGTTCCGCCGTGTTCAACATCCTGTTCGTTATCGGTATGTGTGCGTTGTTCTCCAAAACCCTACTAACACTGACCTGGTGGCCGTTATTTCGCGATTGTACGTTCTACAGTGTTAGTTTGCTTACGTTAATCTATTTTTTTCGTGATAACTCGATCGAGTGGTGGGAGGCGCTAGTGCTGTTTATAATCTATATCGCGTACGCAGTGTTTATGAAATTTAACCAGACAGTGGAGAGATGTGTGAAGAAGATTATCTATAAAAATAAGGTGACCAGAGTTCGAAGCACTGATCAACTTATGCCTGCAGTAAGTAGTTGAGGATGCATGTAATTAGAGGACACATTGGTTTATTTTTGGTTCCCTTTCGTTCGAATCACTTCCTAAGTTTTCAAACACAAATCATCCCATTGCTCAGTACAACACTATCATCTCACAAATCATCAATTTCAAGCCGAAAGGCTTCTCAGATAAAATTAAATTAATTAAACCATCTCCGGCTATAACTTCGCCAACACATGAAACATCTCACTCCACCGTGGATGTGACGGTCGAGGTGCAAACGACCAAAACGACGATGGCGGTGATTGAATCAACATTTGGGTGGTGCACCTGAACTGAAACTGAAATGTCAGGAGCATCGTTGCATCAGCTGTTGAACCGGTGGTCGTGCTACTGCTGCTATCCACCGGACGTGCCATTGTCATTAGAGGCGGAGATCTAATTTTCATTATTAAATAAAGTGGTGCAGTGGTAGCAGCAGAAGTTCCACCATTATCATGTGCTGACGAGTTGATGTGTCGAACCGCGATTGAAATGGAATTGTCTTGTAAAATGCAAACTTAATGAGTAGCAACACGAATTTAACAGTGTATAGCATAATCATATGAGAGCTCATACATTTCATTGCACTGCATAATGGGTACGGCATTTATCGGGTAGACCGGTAGACGAACCATCACGAAACTACATGCAAGGCGAGATCGACTCAAAACTGAATGGTTTTTCACTCAAAATCACAAAAACGTAGGCCATTCACAGACTGAGTTAAATTTTCCTCACTTATCCTCAAAAACCTTCGAAAATTTTACTCAGTCTAGGAGTATACTAATAAACTGAGTGAAACTTCTCTTGATTTACCTCATATTTTAATAGTTTTTCCATGGAAATTGAGGAAAATTTTACTCAGTCTATAGCCTACGTTTTTGTGAATTTGTGTGAACGGAACTCAAATTTGAGCGGGTTTAATCGGCCATGATGAGTGATGTCATTCGGTTACTGTATGGTCGAGTGATTGTCATATGGACAGGTGTCATTTTCCGAAATCGATTTCTGATCAATTAATATGAACTTTTAACGACGGTACGATAAATTCAATCAACACGGTAAACATTCAACATTACAAGTTGAATGAACATGTTCGAGGCATGTTAAAAAAAGATTGTATTTTGTGTGGAGTTGTTTTTTCAAAATGGGAGCAATTAATTGGAACCCTTCTTGTTGTTGTTTATCATCGGTAGTTTTGACGTAGAACTACGTCTTTGTCGACTATGCTGGGGTGCAAATCAAAAAATATGTGTGGTGAAGGAGTGTTAGGTTTTGAACGCTTGTAACTTTGTCATTTATAGATGAAATTAAAATCCAAATACGCCAATCGATAGGATATTACATTACTAACCTGTTGAAATAAATATTTTTTCCAATTTTTCTGTAATTAAACTATTGAAAATGTACAAATGATAATTTTATCACTGATTTCATGAAATTAGCCTTTTTCCCAAACCCAGTCATTACAAACGAATACCACTTGGTTACACATCATTCTGCTTGAACCTGAAAAGATATAAATCAGCGCTGCTCTCATCATTTTTTTTCGGGAAATAAATTTTAAGCAAACCCTAATAATGTATAAACAATTAATTTTATACATGCAGAGCCAACATTTTCAAAAAAAAAAATATTGCTTAATAGGAGACATACACTCGATGAATTACCAACAACTGACTGTTAAACATATCTGGTGCCTCTATATATGCAATTATATTAACATCCAAAGTCCATCCTATTTTACATATTCTGCAAAAAAGAAACTTTCTGCTCCGCCCCATTCATAAAAAACTGCGGGAAATCCTATCAGGTTCTGAACCGGAAAAGGACAGCGCTGCTGTCATGCGTTTGCTCATTGTCGCTTCGGACGGCGTGGCACTTGGTCTTGCAGTAAGTAGGACCAAATCAGCGGCTAAAGGTGGATCACGGCGTGACCACAATGAAGAAATGTAATGATGTAAACCCCCTCCTCCTTTCACAACAACCTCTCCCCCTCCCCTTCACAACAATCTCCCCACCCCTCAACAACCTCTCCTAACCAATTATCAATGACAATTATCCACGGCCCATACAAATTTTAAATTTTTTATATGGACAATTGTCTACGCATGGGGAGAGGGGGGGGGGGGTCAAGCATACCGAAAAGCTGTCTACATAGTTAGTGAACAGCCCCTAAAATAACACTGTTATCAAATAAAAAGCAGCTCACGCGACCACCAACGATCGACAAAAACAATCTGTGGGCAGTGTTGCGATTAAAAAAAAAGTTGATGCATTGTCCAATACTCATATTGTTCGTTTAACTCGTATAACTTAAATTATGCACTCATAATGCTTAAAAACAAACAAATAATGTTGAAAACATAAATGACCTGTGATTATAACAAAACGTCCTATATAACATGTCCAATGTACACCTGACAAGAGCAAAATGTCCTCTGTAACATTTTTCACGTTTTCATAGAAAAAAAAGTATGAAACGGGTAGATTATAATTTCAATTACAATTTTACTATCGCATTTCACTATTATAGGTCTTAAAAATGTCAAAAGTTGATTTGGTTTAAAATAGTATCAAAAAAGATTTTGTCAATCTTCAACCTCGTTTTTCTCGAAAAGAGTGAAATGTTAGATAGGACCTTTTGAAAAGTTAGGCGAGATTTCATATCTACCAAAGGGTCAGCAAAACCACAAAATTACCTTGAATACGGGGGGTATTCATTGGATGAAAGGAACCGTGAAAGAGGACACTAAAATAGAAAGTTTTTCTTCCGACAGTTTCATGTTAGTATTCATCTTTGTGTGTACTTCTGAGTGGATTCTGTTTATGTGTGGTCAAATGAAAATCATGTCAAATTTCACATGGATATTTGTCAAGAAAAATGTGTAAATTGTTATGAGTCAACCATAACCGAAATACTTGAAAATTTTAAGGTAAAGTATAACAGTCAAAAATGCATGAAAAACATCAATTTTGTGTGGTTCTACGTCATACTGCGGTCGTGTCTAGGACACAACCCTTTAATTTTTTTTTTTTCATATTTTAACCCTGCTATGTTTTCCAAAATCAAGCTTCTGATGCTATGCGCGGGAGGCAAACGTGATTGAAAGTGACAGTAGATACCTAGCTGATGATGATAACTGCTCACAGCATTTCGTTTTGCGGCAAAAATATGCCATTTCATCTCATTCCACTGCGTTTGCAAATTGTTTCACTGTTACCATGCGAAGCTCACCATTGCGCGGAAATCCGATTTTATTGAAATGTCACAGGCTAAGGTTGAAAGTTGTCCATGTTTCCATCCGTGCTACGGAAGAGGTTATCACAAATATGTCACCACAAGACCTTCGGATGTGCATTTCGATTAAACACATTCCTTTGATTACAATAGAATGAACTGATATAAATTTATGTGCTCATAGGGAAGTGCGGAGCAGTGTTGCTGTTTAGCAATTTAATTAAGTTAATTTATGTGTCCAGCCATAGGAACTGAGCACACTGAGTTGACCTTATTTCCAAGTACAAACTACGGAAGAGGCGCCATTTTAATTGTGCCGTCGATTATTGTCCCATAAATGGATGACAAATCGCTAACGAACCCGACGTGGGAACATCTTCCCGATCCGTTCAGAATGAAATGCTCATACAAAGGCACGACCCAGGTTAGGTCTTCATAGGGGCAAGTGGGGGAACACTCACGTTGTTTGCACAATGCACACAAAACGGCTAGATAATGGGAACAAAGTGGAAAGACACCCATAAACTCGTGTGCGGCTCCACGCGCTCACAAGGAAGCAGTTATTTTTATTTTAAAATTGCAATAAAATGCGGAGCCTGTGATGGCAGAGCTGCATTCTGCTATTGCACTTTCTAGGGTTTGTCGACCAACTTGCGAAGCAATTCGAAGTCTCGTTTATAACCGAACCATAGTGAGCGTTATATGATACATGGCACAAAAGTTGCCTTTACGAGCCTCATTCCAAAAAGCGGTTATAGTGATAGAAAAATAACTGCACAAATGCGGAAACGATTCCCTACGTGTGGATGTGTTAATATAAATGTATGTGTGTATGTGTCGAGTTTGTGTGATCTTCTGCATATGCACGTTGAGCAGGCAGCGTTGCACTTACATCAGCTCCACAGTTCCCACCGGGATCATTATCATTACCATTGCACACAGACGGAGAAACTACATACAAACACTGCGCCAGCAGCCAGTTTGCCACGATTCGTGTCATAAATGGAAGCTATTCCACAGGACAACTATGCAACACGCTATGATTGGATTTTGGTTTACATTGCTTGAATAATTAAATTAATTTCCACTCGCGCTGCCATCACTGTGGGTAACTGTTTTTACCGGGCTACGTTTCAAGTGTTGGAAATTTCATTTGATTTTATTTTATTGTTTAATAGATGACCATGCTGGCAATCGATTCACCAATTATGTGTAGCTGTGATTTGGGATACATTTTGTTTTTATCGAGCTTTTACAATTTTCTCGGTTTGATGTTTCCATCCACAACCAGTTAAAATCATAAAATTCCTGTCCCCGTATCAGTGCTGAAGCTGATTCAGGGAGAATTATGTACCATGTTTACCATCATTCATTTGCTGCACAAATATATAACCACCCACATTGGCGACATCTGGACATGTTTCGGATACCCCCGAGGAAGTGGTTAGTTTATGACTAGGGTCAAACCCCACCATGCGACACCTCAAATCACATGGGAAATCGGAAGTACAATGTCAAGCCTAGAGACAAACTGGCTACATTCGGAAATGCTCTTGTAGTTCTCCTTCTACTTCTTGTAATTGGCTTTTACGCTTGTTACGCGAGCGTTTGGCTGGCTCTCAACATAGTGTACTATGAAACACTTCCACAACTATCAATTGAGAGCTTTCTTTGTTAACCAATGATTGCATTTGTTTATTGTGGAGCAAGCACAATGATACTCCTTTTCCAGGGAAGTCCAAAC